CTGGGCCTCCTCCAGGTGAGACATGCCTATAACCGTTTTTAATTAAAATGTACTTTTTGGTAGAATTACTCTTAAGAGGCTTGGTATTTCATGATCCTGATCTGGGTTTTGACACCAAACTTTAAAACCAGTGGCTTATACTTTACTGCTAAGTGACCTTTGACATTTTTGTTCAACGGTGGTGCTTAACCTGTGCTATATCTGGATATTACATTATACTACGTTAATGCACATTAAGCTTTTAAAGTGCAGCCAGAAAACTTAAAACTGGCCTTGCACATTATGGAGGTGGGTGCTCTATATTCAGAGCTAAGAACTCCTTTTACACAGAGTCCAGTGCATACCTATCTATTTCTCTAAGGGGGTCCAATTGTGGCTTTTTACTGATTAGTGTGGAGACTGATTTATTTTTTAGCTGCCTGGTGCTTCATGGTTAGAGACTCGATTGATCAAAAGACCATTTTCACACCAAAATAGTCTGGAAAACTGAATTCAGTTGGGCAAGGCCACCAAATCTATTTAGTTTAAGGCACTTTCACTCTGAACTTTTGGAATGTATTGTGAATTATATGTATGTCCAATGCAGCACATACATGTGCTAGGGGGTGGGGTGGGGCCGGGGGGGAAGCTATTGGACATTATTTGTCTTCACTTTCTTGTTGAATGTCTAATACAACTAAAAGTGCATTTGTTTTGGATAATTGTTATAAAAAAAAGCAGCCCATGAGAGTTCAATTTAGCTTATGCATGAGATGTAAAAGAATAATTGACTTATGGTTCTCGATTAATGGTTTATTAGATTAGAATTTCTTAAATCCAATGAACTGATAACATATCCTGAAAAATGATTTCTTTAAGGGTTGCAATTCATTGTTAAGAGTAGTCTCACTTGTATTCACTGGTATCAGAAATGCCAGAGCAGAGCATACTAGAGTTGATCACTTTAATATTGTTTAAGAAACAGTTTTTTGCTTATTTATTCAATGTTTTTTACAGCTGGCACAATAATTGTAAAATACAATGATGTACTACTATTTTTAATGCTGCATATTCTCTTGATACAAGAGAAGAATTGATTTTTAAGAAACTGGCTGGCTATTATTTAATTGTTAGTCAATTGATAAGATCAATCAACTTCAGGATAATTCATTAACTTGCATACCTAGTTGGTATCTTTCCATGTTTTTAATGTATTCTTGCCATTGGCCAAAATCACTTAAAACCTTACATTAAAAGCTAGATTAAACCATTGTTTTTCGATATAAAACGGTGGTCTAATCATTCTTTTCAAAGACTTTCTCTCTGTAAATCACACATTTAAGTCAAGTCAGCATCACTTCTTTACACTCTTGCTGGTAAAACATTTGCACAGCAGCCCTATAAAACAGGGTATACATTTCTAGGTTGGACGGAGTTGGCTTGCTGGGTTTGAAGAGTTCAGTTGACTTTTCATACCTGGCCAAACAAAGCAGGACTATCTGAGGAAGCACAATCCTAATAGAACTCGACCGAATAGCTCTGGAGTTAAAGTGCCTTAAATTACTAGATTTGCTCTCAGGTCACTGTGGGGGTGATAAGTGTGTGGCCTTAGTATGAGGCTATCATGGGCACTTTTCCTTGGAATTCTCCAATGACTGATCCACCCAGTGGCTCCTCTACCTAAAATACAAACATACTACATATATAAACTGCCTGAAGGAGACATGGTCTGTCATTTCAGCACATCCTGCACATCTCTGTTTTTGTAAATGGTGATCACACAAACATGCAAAACTGCAAAGTACAGCCTGGGGGGGATTATTATATATATATTTTTTTCCTTTACAAAAATGTGCATGCTTAGATATAACACTGGTGATATATATATATTGGAAAACTGTATATGTAAGTTTTAAAAGTGTCTAGACACACTAACTTGGAATTTATAATCACAGTTTTATACTAGAAGAGCCCTTACTTCATAAATTGTTCCTCTTCTACCAGTTGTGGAATACAGGGAGGTTTGATCTGGAGCAATGCCCACTAAGGTATGGCTAAGGTACTGAATATATTTATAGTGATACACCTCATACCCATTTTTCTCATGGCAAAAGTGGTTGAAAGTGTTTAGATTAGTGTGAAAAGCGTGGTATGATACCTTTCAGATTTCCTGTTTTGAAAAAATCTGGCATTTTTTCCTGTAACACCTTGCCTTCTAAATCTGAGAGATAATATACAACGCTTACATTTGATATTTTTCAAAAAATAAAATTTTTGACTGACTGAATAAACACACTTCCTCTACAGGTGCTGGTCATAAAATTAGAATATCATGAAAAAGTAGATTGATTTCAGTAATTCCATTTAAAAAGTGAAACTTGTATATTATATTCATACATTACATACAAACTCATATATTTCAGATGTTTATTTTGTTTAATTTTGATGATTACAAATGACAACAAATGAAAATCTCAAATTCATCATATCAGAAAATTAGAATATTACTGAAGACCAATAAAAACAAAGGATTTATAGAAATGTTGGCCAACTGAAAAGTATGAACATGAAAAGTATGAGCATGTACAGCACTCAGTATTTAGTTGGGCCTTCTTTGGCCTGTATTACTGCAGCAATGCGGCGTGGCATGGAGTCGATCAGTCTGTGGCACTGCTCAGGTGTTATGATAGCCCAGGTTGCTCTAATAGTGGCTTTTAGCTCTTCTGAATTGTTGGGTCTGGTGTATTGCATCTTCTTCTTCACAATACCCCATAGATTTTCTATGGGGTTAAGGTCAGGAGAGTTTGCTGGCCAATTAAGAACAGGGATACCATGGTCCTTCAACCAGGTACTGGTAGCTTTGGCACTGTGTGCAGGTGCCAAGTCCTGTTGGAAAATGAAATCTGCATCTCCAAAAAGTTGGTCAGCTGCAGGAAGCATGAAGTGCTCTAAAACTTCCTGGTATGTGGCTCCGTTGACCCTGGACCTCAGAAAACACAATGGACCAACACCAGCAGATGACATGGCACCCCAAACCATCACTGACTGTGGAAACTTTACACTGGACTTCAAGCAACGTGGATGAAGTGCCTCTCTTCTTTTCCTCCAGACTCTGGGACCTTGATTTCCAAAGGAAATGCAAAATTTACTTTCATCAGAGAACATGACTTTGGACCACTCACCAGCAGTCCAGTCCTGTTTCTCTTTAGACGCTTCTGACGCTGTCTGTGGTTCAAGAGTGGCTTGACACAAGGAATGCGACAGCAGAAACCCATGTCTTTCATACGTCTGTGTGTGGTGGTTCTTGAAGCACTCACTCCAGCTGCAGTCCACTCTTTGTGAATCTCCCCCACATTTTTGAATGGGTTTTGTTTCACAATCCTCTCCAGGGTGCTGTTAGGGTTTATTATTTATACATCATGTGCACTGTTAATTTGTCAGATTAGACAGAGCAGAAGGCCTTCCTTCACATTGTGGATATCACGGTGTGTACGGAGGTCATCTAATCAAGACAGCCTTTGTGTCTCTAAGAGTACAAAGGATATGGGCACATCTTGGAGCCGGTCTGATAGGAGAGCTGCTGTATCTGTAACCCTGAGACAGAGAGGCAACCTGCATGGAGTTCAAGACATGGATGGCGTGTCAGTTTCTGATACGGACAGCTAAGCATCCACATGATGTGACACAGACTCAGAAGGTATAAGAAGCAGGTGATGACGTTGTTCGGGGCTCAAACTTTGCCGGACGCTTGCGGACGTGATTTTTGAGACCACAGCTGTGCATAGCTCGAAGCATTTTTCTCTGTCCTGTAACGACCTGATCTAGAATAAACTCTGTTACTTTTTTACTCCTGTTTTTATAGTCCTTTTTTATATGGTTTTAACGAGTTTGAGTTAAGAGTAGTAGATAACTTGCTCCCAGGAAAAGAACCGTGTGAGGAGGCCCCGGGGCGTTACAGCCTTTACTTTGAAGGGGACAAATCCTTCTCACTTTAACAAATTGGTGTTTCCGCCCGTGACCTGGAAGCAAAACAACAGAGCCACCGACGGAAAAAGCTCCACAGCCTGCGGCCGAAACAACTGATAAGGTGAGGAGATTCCTTATTACAAAATATCTCCAGTGTTTTTACTGTTAAAACACTTTGGCTGTGTTGTGATTTTCTGAAGTGAGCTGAAGCTTTTTATGCAAAAGAGGACAGAGAAATTGCTCAGAGTGATTTTAGTTTTTGTTTTTGCGGTTTTTGTTTTGTTGTATTTGTTGGTTTTTATTTTTTTTTACATTGCGAACGTGTACAAATAAAAAAAAAAAAAAAGAAAAAAAGGAGAGAGAGAGAGAAAGAAAGTCGTGCGTTCTGCTGTGGGTAGCGGTTGAAAGTCCGACTGAAGGCGACTGCGCAAACGTCTTCAAGAACTATACTATTCACTAGGATAAGTTGGTTGGAAAGCCCAACGGTTTCTGCATGCAGAAAGGGACGGTGATTTTATTCCCGGTCTGCCTGCAGACACGAAAGATGCACTTCTGAAAACAGACGCACAGACAGAAACCAGTCACATAGCCGGCTAGAGTTTGCCAGTATGCCTCCCATAAGGACATGTACGAAAAACCGAGACTGGAAATAAGCGAGCGGGTCAGGTTGAAACGGACCTTTTGAGGTGTTTTTCTCTTTCCTTCTCTTCTCTTATAAAAGGAAAAGAGAGAGACGATAAAATGATATTCCTCATAAAACTAGAAGAGACTGATGCCCGGATTAGGTAACTTGTTTGTCTAGTCCTAAAAGTTGGTGGAGTGAACGAGGCGGAACTATATCTAAATCTTTTCTTTTCTCTAAATTTCTTTTCATTTTTTCCTTTCTTTTTTTTCCTTTTTCACTGACGGACGTATTTCTTTGACGGACGCACTTCCTTAGCAGAGAAGCGGCTCACTGAAGTTTATAGGTAAAAAGTTTAAAGCACCGAGGGATCTCACGTAAGACGTCGAGGTCTAATTTTATACACTGTGTGAACGGAAGGTGTAAAAGATGGATGCATGTGGACTAGAAAATTGAATCCAGAAACACCTCGTTAAAAGCGAGTCTGGATAAAGGGAGAAATATGATCATGGCGAGTTATCCATTGAAGGATGCAGAGCACCACATTAGAAAATTTGATGAATGGTAGGAAAAAAAAAAAATGAGAGAAGATGGAGTGTTTGGGGAATTAGAGGGGCCCCCTCCAAACACTTCACAACGTGGTTTTTATTTGGATACTCTAAAAAATAGATTGTCACAAGCTCGTGAAAAAATGGCTGGTGCTGGTGTGTTCGGACGAGACAAACACCAGAAGGAAGAAACAAAACTTTTGGATTTGATTAGACAAACCCAGTTCAATTTTAGTAACTATTTTTCTGACAAGGACCCTGAACAGGAACAGGTGGAGCAAAACGGGGCTCAGGGAGGTGAGCAGGCACTCGACACTTCAGAGGGTAAGAAAAGCCTTTCATGAGTACATCTAATATTGCAGAAACAGAGCCTATTATGGACCCCAGTCCACACCAAGGTGTCAGAGAAATGTTTCATAAGGCTGGTGATGCAATGTTTCCATCAAACCCATGTGTGCAGATGCCTGTTATGGAGTTGCGTGAAGGTCAGATAAATTGTGAAATAAGGCCTACAGAGGAAGAATTGGGACAAGAGGTACGAAAGGAGTTTCAGATGCAAGATTTAATAGAGGAGGTGGTAAATTTCAGCATTTCAGTTCCTATTGTTATGAAAATGTCGATGTTTCTGTGATTTTTGGAGGTGAACCTTGGAAAGGAAAGCTTAAAATATAAGAGGTTGATATATTTACAATTTACGATGTCTTGAAATTAACATTTTAAAGGTAAGAAGATCAATTAGTACATTTTCAGTGCGGTAAACCCCAACCCCGGCCCAACATTGAGCTCCAGAAGGTGGATCACACAGAGCAGCCGTTCACTTAGAGGCAGGAGAGAAAAGAAAAAGAAGACACAGAGAGACTGAGTGCACACAGGGCCGGTCACAGCAAAGGCAGGGCCCAGGAGTCTAGAAGCAGTTTTTACCTTAAAGACATCTACCAATTACTACACTAGAATGGTATTGTTATCTGCATTTAGAGTGACTGATTCAGGAGCTTATATTTGAAAATGTTAGACCACACAAGCTAAGTTTGTCAAACTTTAGCAAAGTGAATATAAATTAAACACTGATCACTGAGGATACTCTAAGGTGGATTAAATGGATCTTTACTCAGTCAACTGTTCAGAATAGAGTGGGTTACATCAAATAGATAAATTAGGAAGGTTGAGTTCAGTGGATAAAAAGAAGAGAGGCAGACAGCAGTAGATGAAATGGAGGGTGAGTTGGATAGAGAAGGGGAGAAATGGGCAAAGAAGATCGAAGTGCGGGTTCAGTAAGAATTAGAGAAAGGAAGTCAATGCAGCAACACTAGGGAGGCCGGGATCCCACTATTTGTTTAGGTATGGAGGTAGTTTTTTTTTAGAAATTTCCAGCAGCAGTGATAGATATTTTGATTGAGGGCAGTTACTGTCCTATTATGGTTAATACGGGGGCCAGATACAGCCCCATGAATCTTTATGTGCCCACCTGCCAAAAAACTACACAGGTAATGGGATTTTCAGGAGAAAAACAAAACATACCACTTTTTCAGAACCCCTTAGAGGTGTTCTCATATTTGAAAATTCAAACATGTCATTTTTGGGGGGCGCTTAGAATTAAAAATCATTGGGTGTGAAAACTTATTTTGGTGTCTAACGTGAGCAAATAAATCTTAGGTTTCCATAAATGTGCACATATAGTTTAACAAGTATCCTAAAATGAGGCTGAAAAGCACCGGTGCAGAGGTCTTAAGACCGGACTGGTGAAAAGATTATGACTTTTTGTTTAAATTGGGAAAAAATCCTCTAAGAAGATAAATCTAAATTGATACAGATGGATTAAACAAACTTTATGTGGCCAATGTCTGTCTGTCTGTCCTAAATGTGGAATGCATGTGAGGTAGAATGTGTGTGGTCAAGTTGGGAATGATTAAGAATATTTTTTGATGTGACATTAACATGATTTGCATTTTTACAGGATTGAGAAGGAGCACTGGGGGCATAACAGAAGGGTAATCGTATCAAACATGTTGCTCAGGGGCCCCACCTATGAGAGGCCCTGACAAGACCAGAGCAGGTTGCTGTTGTAGGGTGTGAGGTAATTTTTGGGTGTGGAGTGCAGCTGAGATACTGTAGATTAATGGATTATAGGAAAAATTAAATATAAAAGTAATTATCCAGAAAGAAGCAGAATGGGTGTTTTTACTTTTTGGGAAACTAAAATCTCAGACGAGGGCATTACATGATTTTAATTTAAAGGTAGTTTCATTTTCAATCATTAGAATTGCATTAGAGATTGATTAGTTTCACTTTTCTCTCATTAGGATTTTATTAGTGATTGATTAGGGACAGGATAAATCACACTTCGAGCTGGAACTGGACACAGCATATGGCCAAGATACCCGCAGGAGCTCAGCAGATTAGCGGGATCAACTTTTATAAACAAGGCTGGAGAGTTAAGAACAATTTCGGTGTGACCTGACCCTGGGTTTTTTCAGCCTTCAGTTTTTATCCATAATTATTTCTATCTGTGTATAATGCCGCTTGGAAACTGCCTAAGCACACACTGATTAATTTGAATCTCTAATCATTACTAACACTAACACTTTTCACTGTTCATCTGGGCCTTACCTTGTTTGCATGACGTGTTAAATTCCGCTAACTTTACAAATTTCTGTGAATGAAGTGATTAACTATTGACTAATTGATGAATTTTTTGATTGCTTTTTCCTGGTAACAAACCAGAGGGGTCATTTACTTTTTCCCTGCTTGTAGAGAGTGACAGTGCGGCTGTCAGGGAGCAGGCATGATTATTCAGAGGCCCATTTAAGCCTTTACTTTGAAGGGGACAAATCCTTCTCACTTTAACAGTGCGGTTATCTCTCTTGCTTGTACACTTTTTTCGACCACATCTTTTCCTTCCCTTCGCCTCTCTATTAATGTGCTTGGACACTGAGCTCTGTGAACAGCCAGCCTCTTTAGCGATGACCTTTTGTGTCTTGCCCTCCTTGTGCAAGGTGTCGATGGTCGTCTTTTGGACAACTGTCAAGTCAGCAGTCTTCCCCATGATTGTGTAGCCTATAGAACTAGACTGAAAGACCATTTAAAGGCTTTTGCAGGTGGTTTGAGTTAATTAGCTGATTAGAGTGTGGCACCAGGGGCCATCAATTTTGAACCTTTTCACAATATTCTAATTTTCTGATATGATGAATTTGAGATTTTCATTTGTTGTCATTTGTAATCATCAAAATTAAACAAAATAAACATCTGAAATATATGAGTTTGTATGTAATGTATGAATATAATATACAAGTTTCACTTTTTAAATGGAATTACTGAAATCAATCTACTTTTTCATGATATTCTAATTTTATGACCAGCACCTGTAGTGCTATTAGAGATGCTTGTTTGCTTGAGGCAACACAGTTGCCGTAAACATTGCTCCACTATACTGTATACCTGACTGTTGCAAGCTCAGGCAAATGTCTTCATGTGATCAATGGTACTAATGAATATCTCAATGCATTCTCATCAAAAACCAAGGTGCATTTAGACTTCTTTTGATGTTTTCAAATAAACACACTTACCTTTTGATGCTGTAAAACATAATCATGTAGGGACACACTTTGAGTTTCATTTGTATTTTGTTGTTTTTAGTCAGAATTACAGCAGATCCATTTAAAGTTCAGTCAATAGTTTTATGTACTATGTGTAGATGTGTCAAAATCTTTTACTGGTACTGTGTATCAAACAACATTGACATTATTGTAGTTGTAAGGACAGGGCTTTATAATTAGAAAGTATTAAGATTTTTTTTCCCCATTATTTTTATATATTGAATTCTATGATCTGGGATTTTGTTGAGAAAAAATAGTAGTTTAAGAAAAAAAGGCACACTGCAATTGAGTTTTTCCCTAGTTTGTACAAAATGTTATGAAATATATATAAGTATTTTCTAAATCAGAGTTATGTATTAAGACTGAAATGTATTATATGGACAAAAGCACACCTTTCTTGATGTAGCAGCAAAAGTAATATACACATATTTGCCTAGCTAAAGTACAGTATTGATAACTCTTAACTTTTTAAGAACTTCAAATCACTGCTACCACCAGACTAAAGTGTTTTTTGACGGGAATTTTGTGATAGGACAACACAAAGGACTAAATACTGCAATTATGGACTGGAAGGGACAATATGCAGTTTTTTCAATTTTTTAAGCCTACCTTACACAATCACGGTTTCGTGCATTTAAAGCTTTAAGACTTTCAGTGTCTTTTAGATACTTTGTTTTCCTTCTGTTCTTTCAGTTTAGAAAAATTGTCAGATGCATGAGATGTAAGGGTGCAATTGTCAGTAAAAATGTCTTAAATAAGATCTAAACAAATCTAAATCGTCATATAATGGGTAATGTAAGGTGAAACACTACATGCATCTGTTGTTCTTTTTTTAATTAATTTGATTTTAAATATTTTAAGAAAGGGCAAACATTGGCAAGTATTTTACTAGGTATGCTCTTATGCTCTTATGGCTAAACTAAAAGATTACCAAGGTAGGACAAAGTTTACCATCCCAAAATATGTGTTTCTGGTGTTCAAGTAAAAAAGAAAAAGAAGCAAGCAGTTTCAGCAGTTTTAAGCATCACTGTTTAATTGTGTACAAAATCACAGGGCTGCACTTTGCAAAGGGCTGTAAAATTACAGCACTGTGCAAATATTTACAGTGCAAATATTGTCCACCTTACATCTTCGGCCGTCATGACAAAATGTTGACACCACTAGTTTGAATTTTAGCTGGGGTTCTTATATATATATATATATATATATATATATATATATATATATATATATATATATATATTGATCTAAAGCATTTCACTGTAGCACTGATAGAGTATATTTAGGGTGTTGAGTTCCAGCCTCAAGCTTTTAATCCCTTCTAACAATTATATGATTACCCTGTGGTTTAGCTCTTGATACCTTCACAAAAACATTGTTTCTACTGAAGAGAGGCTCTTACACAGCATGATGCTGCAACGGCCGTGGTTGTGATGGGCCTTTTTTGTTAGATTGATTGTCATGTCTTGGTGGTCTCAGGTGTAACATACCACTTAAATAAAGCTTCTTAAAATGTTCAAGACTATTATTTTACACCCAATATTTATTTCACCCTTATACTACTTAATTTTATTGATTTTTTACAGATTTGTCAGGTAGTTTTTTGATCTTTACACATTTTTTATTAGCAAGCCCGCTATGGCCTTAAAAAACAACTGCATATATTTAAACTAAATTGCTAGCATAATTTTTATTTAAAGGTACACTATGCAACCGGTGTTGATTTTCCAGTGAGGCTCCCTCCAGAGGGCGAAAGTAAAAGTGCACTGTCGTAAATATGCACAGCTGTTCTCCTGGTTTCTCCGTCAAGCTAGGCGCGGTTGTTTTGAGCTTAGCAGCGAATGACTAACGCTGCGTTCACACTGGATGTAGCTGGCGCGACAGAAGCAGCGAGTTTACATGCAAAGTCAATGGTTGACGTGCGTCAAGGCGTTGCAAAAGGTCCCGCGGCGCGTTTTGAGACGCACGCGCAGCACGTCTGAGCGGCTGC